ACTCTGCAAGAACCATGAAACAAGCACAAACCACACCCTCCTGCACTGCCATTTCAGCTCTAGAATCTGGAATTTTTTTACTATCTTGCTTCAAGGTCCCTGCAAAAGAGATGGAATCAGTCTACGACAACATATTCTAGAGTGGAATCTCAGGTCTTCTAGCAAGACTATAAGGGGTAATCTCAAAATGGTTATAGCCCGAATCATTGCCTGGCATCTATGGAAAACCTATAATGCTGCACTCTACAGCGAGGAGCAACCCTCAGTGACAAAAGTCCTCCACAATATCAAAACCACTATCCAAAATTGGTGTTGGAACAACCGAGATAAGAGGTGGATAAACAAAGACTCTGAACTTTTTGAGTTGGGATTTCAAACATTTTACCTCAACAGATATCAGCTCCATAGCTTCAGAGATGAATCACGATATACACATGTACAATTAGCGGATGGCAAAACATCAGCGGGTAGAAGAAGAAGACGGTGATCCACAACACAATCATGTGGAGGTTGAGGAAGAATTTTAGGTGAGGAAAGAAGCGGTTAAAGATGGGCCTGATCAAGGATGATGAAAATTTGAATCCTGAGCATCCTCATCCCTTTTCTGTTTACATTAGCAGGATATGTCTTTTTTTTCTTTTGACCTCTGAGGCTACGGTCTAGTCCTCCTCAGACGTGTACTGATATTGTCATTTTTTTAATAAAAGTTCTTCTTTTCAAATATATATATATATATATATATATATATATATATATATATAGAGTTTGGTTCCGGTGAGAAAGAGATCTAATGAAAGAAATAAGAGTACTTATAAACCATCTGATCTGATGAGTTTTCAATCTTATCGCCAGGGCATAGAAGTCTTTACGGCACTTCCTTCAAACGCAAACCATCGCGAGGCATTCTCATCCCTGATTTCTCGCGCACGATCTGATTCACTTTCCCCATTTTCTCTCTTACCTTTCTAGAGATATGAATACCCTTATTTACCAAACTCTTACTAACCTCCAATTCGGCCGTAATTGGGAGCGGCTTTGCTGCTCGATCTTTTATCATGGTTCCAGGTTTGTGTTGTTTGTGATTCTTTTTGTCTACAATTACGTAACCATGGTATGTAAATTTCACTAGCCTCTCCAGTTCGTTAGATCCATGGATGCGCTTACATTCATTGTGAAATTACTTATAAATTTCTTTGGGATTTAGTATTTTTCTTAATGGGGTAATCGTTTCAAAGGTTGCTGGTTAAACTAAGTACAGCTTCATGAAACACTGCACCCATATATTTTTGTATGCATTATGTCTAAAAAGGGTTATATTTTATTTCTTTATGCATTTCATGCATTTTGTATTGCATCATCATGTCTGCATACTGCATTAAATGACCCCCATCGTCTGACCATGCTTACTGCATCAAAATGACCCCCCACGACTGATCATGCTTACTCAATTCAACAATGTTTCAAAAAGGTATTGGTAATGCCTGTAACTATTTTTTGGTGGACTACATTTCGTCTTTTGCTGGTTCTCTTTTCTCTTTGTTGTTCGTCAATTGCGGCCACTTTCATGAAATTACGCTTCATGTCATTTCTCACCTTCTGTGTTTATTTATTCATACATATGTCCTCTAGTTCGCTTTTTTGAATCCTGTATTACATAATTATAATTACGTAATGCATTTAGCTAACCTTCCTCCGTCGATTATGGCCAGGGTACACACCTATGACTTCAAACGAAGGCCCGACACATGCAACAGAAATTATTTCGACTTCATCCAACTTATTTGTTCCTGCCTGCCCTTAAGAGGCCAAGCCCAAAGTGGGAATGGTATTCCAATCCTTAGAGGACGGATTTAATTTTTACAAGCAATATGCTGCATTGGCAGGTTTTGACATTCGTAAAAGCACCAATTTGAAGGTTTCGGGTGTTGTTGTGTGGCGGTACGTTGTATGCAACCGCGAAGGTCATAAGCATTTTGCATCAACCTGCAACAAACCCACTCACGACGATGGAGACTTGCCCAAGGCAAAACAGAGGAGACGCATTTCCAATCGTGTTGATTGCAAGGCGCGTGTGGCGTTTAGGCTCACGGGTGGTGTAGGCTACTCCATATCATCATCCATTGAAAGTCATAACCATCCCATGATGTCCCTTCAATCTAGGCCCTTTTTGAAAATCAACAGAAATCTAGAAATTGGCCACAAGAAGTTTATGTTGAATTATGGTTGTTCAATTGCTTTCTTGATGCAATGGGTCATGCACCGCAATGCATAATCACAGACCAAGACGCTTCTATGGCTATTGCTATTCCAGAGGTTTTCCCAAACACAGTCCATCGTCTCTGTATGTGGCATATTACCAACAAAATTACGTCCAAAGTTGACAATGAACTTGCAAAAGATCAGGACTTTTTGACAAGGTTAAACTCTGTAATATGGAGTCATTACCTCGAGCCTGAAGACTGGGAAAAACAATGGCATGAGGTATTAGTTGATTATGAGCTGGATTCTGATTCATGGTTTTGCAATCTTTTTGCTATTCGTAAAAGCTGGATTCCCGCATACTTTAGGGATTTGTTCATGATTGGTTTACTACGCACAACATCACGTTCTGAGAGCGAGAATAGCTTTTTTGGTGATTTCAAAAAATACCTTCTTCACTCTTGTCGAGTTCTATATGCAATTTGAAAGTGCTATGGACTCCCAACGACATAAAACTGCAGACTTGGATGGAGATTCAGAAGCATGCGCCCCTGTTTATAAAACACCGCTTGCAATTGAGAAACATGAAGCATCCATCTACACTCTGAGCATCTTCTACGAAGTACAATCAGAGATATGTGCATCATGCTTCTCGTGCAGCGTGCTACAGGTGGACAAGAAGGAGCATACGTTAACATTTGTTGTGCAGGATTCCCGAGATATGGTTGTTAACGTTGAACATTCAACCTTAGAAGGCTCTTTCTTCTGCACATGTAAATATTGGCAGCGCATTGGTCTGCTGTGCCGTCACATATTCTTGGCGTTCAAGGGACTGAGAATCAAACTGATCCCAGAACGTTATATTACCAATAGATGGTGCAAAACACCACTCCTGAAGCCACTGATCGATGTTTCTGGCCTGGACTTTACCACGGAATCATCCGTTGACGAAAACAAATTAATGCTCAACCGCCTACGGTCTAACATTCACTCTTGTGTTGCACTCATTGAAAATAACCCCGAGTTATTATGTGCTTTCTCCAAGGTAATTACTGAACAAAAAGAGCTCATTCAATCTGTTGTTTCCTCCCAGGATGCAGGTACTGGAGAACCTAACCTCTTTGAAAATTACTGTGGTGTTCCCGCTCCATCAGTGATTAAAGTGCTTCCACCTCAACCAGCTCACAACAAGGGTAGTGGTAAGCGCATCAAGAGTGCTAAAGAGCTCCAGATTGAACAAAGCAAGAAGAACAAACGCTTGTGTCGAACTTGCAAA